CCAGTTGTGTAGTTGTGCATGAGTAGTGTATTTGTAGGCCAGCACCGTTTGGTTGGCTGGTTGAAGTCCAAATGACTGAGTGGTTGGAGGGGTGAAGCGTCATTTGAGCACGCTTGGGGGGCGGGGTATGCGTGAACGGTACAAAATGGCGGGCGAGCGCGCTGTGGAAAGGGGGGCGGTGTGTTATAGCTTCCGACGTATCACTACATCGCCTCCACACTGCCAACGGTACGTTGTCATGACCAGACTAGGCAGGCACCAGCAGGAGCTGATTGCTAGAACCACTCAGCGTTTCGGGAGCTGATTGAAGCTTAACTGGCTGCGTGGCCGGACGAGTATGGCGTCAACAGGAGGGGGGAGAAAGAAGCCACATGCACAGAGAGTGGGTGTATGTGAAGAAGGGTCCCAGATAGCTGTCGGGTACGCTGTAATGAGGGTGGCGGTTTGTTGGAGCATCCGGATCCCGCTGTGAATGCACACGATTCAGTAGGCGGTAGAGTTTACTTCACTTGACCTACTGACCATTGGCTTACTTGCCTCCTGAAAAATGGCATTGATTATGCCAATAAGAGGTGTGTTGGTGTGTCCGGCCAACGTCGTAAATGCACACAGCACATTTCGCTGGTGCTTAACTTCCGACCATCTGAATTCCCACTTTCAGCGTCGGCTTTGTTTAGGTGTACATGTGAAAATTGGCCTCTCAATCTTCATCAGCAAAGCACTACCGAGATCCAGTCATAGAGGATGAATTACTGTTTGGCTCGTGTACGGGTACAGGTGAAGACGATGAAAATATTTACTGGTTTTAGTGTGGCGTCATAAATAAATAAGTCAGGCAGTTTTGCTTTAATAGCAGCAAGTAAAGTGTTAGAAGGCAAATATCAATAAGACAAATACCATTGTGTAAAAAATTTCTTCGCTGCGAGCATGTCATAAAACACAGCAGAAACATGCAATGCCATCCAAGCATATGAAGCCGTGATTGCGCAAACGTTCTGATTTCGACGACAAGAACACGGCCTCTGTTTGATTTGCCGTGCGTCACTCATAAGTGCTTTGCCGTAAGCGACCTTTGCTTTGCATCTAAAAATTGCAGATTTCATTGACGGCTAGAAAATTGGTACACAATTATGAGGCATTTTCGTCTTTTTCTTGTTTGAGCACTTTGCGCCGCTCCTAGCTTTTAAGCCACAGTAAAGAGCCCAATTACTTTAGAGAATGTTCTTGGTTCTGCTAATGAATCAGTGTACACCTACTTTGGTTTTGTCCGTCATAACTGGACTGGTTGATAATTATGTACGCGTTTCGTGATGCTAAACACGTAGGTGGGCAGGGAGTTAAGTCGAATGTCAAGCATAGTTTGACAGGTTGGGATCATACGATCGGCATCAAGTCCTTAAGTTTGAGATCAAGATGAAAGAGTATATTGCCTCGTCTCGGCATTATCTTAATCTTGTATTATAATGAAATAATACCTCTTTTAGTTGCGAAGCTACTGCAAGTCTACCGACAGTTTCACGCAGTATCTCATACTTCTACGTGCAAAGCACAGTACGCCAAGCATTGTAATCTTGTGGCGACGACTACACTCGCACTTAAGCTTTACGATAGTCGCATATCGACTGCACAAAAGCCGATCGCCTTCCTTTCGGTATTCCTGCGTGAAGAAGAACGTAATTACCAATTCTGACTGCGTCAAAATACGTCCAAGATACGATTTGTTGCGTGACCCACCACAATTAGGATTTTCCCTCCCTAGCATCCCAACCGTCAAGGCCAGATGCACACGAATACGCAAATCATTTACGCGAGGCAATGAGCCATCAAAATCCACTCAACTTCATTTACGTTCACGATTTGTCTGAACTGAATTTTGTCGCTGTTCTTGACTCCCGCCTGATTCAGCCTTGTCTCGGCTTCCAATTCTCCCCGCTGGCTTGTCGCATTCTGAACTCCCTCTCACTTGGCAGACTGTAATTCTTGACGCCAAACTCGACCACCGAGCGAGGAACATCTCACGGCATTGACCGGGCACCATGCCACATGTTTCATCTGTAGTGGCTTGTGGTCTAAGCACTACCTTACCACCCTCTAGTTAACACCTCGTAATTGCCCGAGGAGAGGGGAAAAGGAGGCGAGGGCGGAACCGACTGGTTTATTGGTGTCAAAACAACCAAGTGGCTTTGTGTGCGTATGAGCACGCGTGCGTAACAGGCGAATGCTGACAGAGGCCAATAACAAGAGGGGTGGGTCATTGGTCCAGTCGGGCCCTCCTGCACGCACACTCACGCGGGGTGGCTGTCAGTCCACTACAAGCACAGTTAGCAAGCGTCAGTGAACACGATTCAATCGATTTTCGTGAATTCTGCACCAGATAACCCACCCTGGTTGTGTCGTGTGTTTTTGCATTGAAACTACAGACGGCTATAAAAACACACAGGGACTAGCAACTGAAATCGACTGTAATGACCCAAAGGGAAGTAATGTCACAAGGAACCACCCAATTCTGTACTGTGGATGCTAATAATCATGTCAATCGTCAGCTTGATTTCCGCGGTTGTTGAGGGTCCATTTATTGTAAACCTGAAGCTCAGAATCAGGCTCCTAGACCAAATTGATGCTTCCTACAAAAGGAATTTTAAAATTATTAAAAGTTATATATGCAAAACAGGCATGTTGTCTGCACACTTGCGAACGCAATATCTAGGGCCTTAGCGTGACGTTACACATTATCGTTTTCTAAATTCGTCAAAATGAATCCAAAGCAACTCAATACGATCCAATTCTTTTCGCTGTCATTAAATTATTGATGGCAGTAATGACGTCGATGAATAGGCCAACATCGCCAAGGTTAAGCCTATTTTGTACCATGTACACTAGACATTTCCATACTGCATTAAGTTAATTAAAAGCATTTATAAGCAAACCAAATCTACAAACATGGCACTAGTTCGTGTGTGTTGAGTATCCAGCATTTATCACTGCTACTGATTGCAGCAACTATTTGACGACAAGGATGTCCTAAAACGTTTCTTCGGAATCATTTCAAGACAAGGCATCCTGCATTCGATTTTCTTGTGTCGATAAGACAAATATATCTTTTTATATTCAATGCTATTACCTAGTTGGCTAAATGACGCATGTATTTGAGGATCTCATAAGATCCTTGATCTCCAGGTTATAGAGAGGATAAGTAAGAATGGCAAATAAGCCGATTTCCATGCTGCCTATTTATGCTGTTGTGGGCAGCACATGTGGTCTTGAACCATGCCGGGGCCACAGAATTAACCCTGGCCCGATTACGCCTGCCTGATACCCACGATGAAGAACAAGACAGAAGAGAACGGTACACAATCGTTTACTTCAGAACTCAAACTCGTTGGCGTCGTTGTGTCGTGTGTGGGGTCTGCGCGTGTGTATTTATGCCTCGGGTGTGTGAGTCATACATGCGCTAGAATCAAGACCTTGGTGCGGGGATGATCCAAGATAAACATTCGTGCTAATGGAGGAGGAGTTGAGGATTCGCGCGGCTGTTGACATGCTGTGACAAGGGGAACCCTGTGTAGGAGGTGGAGCAACCGGATTAGGGGGTTGAGTAGACAGGAGTCACGACAATGCATATCCACTTAGAGGGATCAAAATCTCTGCTATTATCATAGCATTTAATAAAAGGTTGAAAGTTATCAAAATTTAGCAAAAAATTAGAGACGCACGAAGTATTTTATTATTACTACATGGGATATGCATGCTACCAAAGCAGTGGGTCTAAAAACGCATGATAGAAAATGACCAAAATAATGAGAACGTTTGCTGCATACATGACAGAGATGAACCAACGTAATGCTTTCAAATGAACAAACTTTAGCTTGTCCATACAATGTGCAGTTTTAGTGGCACACGTTATTAGAAAAGAAACCTCCTGCAAATAATCGTATATTAACTCCTAATATTTGATCGCAAATCAATGCCAACATTAACACAAAATTCTCACAGACTTTAAGATAGAATTTCGCTTTATAGTAGTAATATAAGAAATAATTTAAATCGACGAAACATTGCTAAGATTAAATGGCTAAAACATGCATGCATAAGACTGATTTGATTAAGTAAACACCATGAAATGAATAATTTTAAGACGTTTACTTACATTCATTTTCAATGAGCTTTCACTACTTTGTGTAGCATACCAAACTTCAATTAGTTTGGTTTTTTAAATAGTCAACAGCAGTTTCCTTACGAACTTCTATTCAACCACAACTAAGTTCGCCGCTATAACATGTAACCAGAAATCTTCCGAGCAATTTTTTAAATGTGAAGATGTTTTGGGACTGCCAAAACAGAGGTATATTTAAATGCTCCAATATTTCAACCCAGAGCCACTTTTTAACGAAATAATTATTTTAAAATGATTAAGGAACAGCTTCGTTTTAGTTGGTTGATGATAATCGCGAGAGTCTTTGTGAAGTGGCGCCCTCTTAGTTTGTGGATTTATGGTTTCTCAGGTATCGTTAATGCGGTTTTAATGTGGATATCTAAATAAGTTAAATGACATTCCATCATTGTATTCCGACACAATGATGCGCATAATTTATTTCATGCAATTTTGTTTTGTCCCATTTAAAGCGTGTAATTTTTTTTTATTTTATTCTGGCCCCGGCAGACAGGATTTTGGAAAAAAACACAACAATTTTGCAACATATTTTGTCCGGAATATTGTTTTTAGGTTTTAATTGGAATTAGTGTTGACGTTTAATTCAACGGCCGGTTTATAGTCTATACTTCTCTTTTACTTGTAATAGAACATTTATCATAGGTGTTCAAATAAACAGATTAATTCCAGTGGATAAATAGTATCACATGTTTTAATTTGTATCATCGAGAGATTGAGATTACATTCCATAAAATATCTTAGCATCTTCATTTTTACTTGTACGCACATAGTCATATTTTTATTTTGAATGTTTTCCCATTACAGCACTGTTACATCTAATGGTTCCGTCATGAGTGATCAGAAAGTTGAAGACGACGCCACCGGTGGTGGTTACGTTTTGGAGGAGAATAGTCCCAATGATTTCCTTGGTCCCGAGACGGATTTTAGCGCCTTATCAACTCATGTGCAGGACATTGCTCGTCGTTTAAATCAGGAATTTGAGATAATAATGGAGTCTCATGGGCCGGCAGTTGTGGAGAGTTTGCTGCCCACCATTGTCAATGTATTGGAAAAGCTGGATGAGCTCTACAAAGACGAGACTGCTTACAAGGCAGAGGTGTTACAGTTGAGGGAGGACAACGCATCTCTGCTCAGTGAATTAGAGAGAGAAAGGTGTGCACGAAGGGAATCTGAAAATGTACGTTTAATTTCTCTTGATTTCATCGTTAGTATATTGAAATGCTATATCAATATTGTTTCTGTGGTTGAAGTAACTTCTGACGCTGTCGCTGTGTTTGTCTACATCGCTTTGGACCTTAGTGTGGTTGACACCTGCGATTTGGCAATTATTTGGCTTTCTTCTGTATTGTAGTTTGCTCGGATTATCATGCGCTTTTTTTTCTTGAAAATGAGGGAATGCATTATTTATGAATGTTCCTTGCCGCCAGATATTCATAAACTCCTGGATTTATCAATAATTGCCATTGCTTAAGTCCTATCACCACTACACTTTATTTTTAAAAGAGTACCAACGCGTTGATGGTTTCTTTCTTAAAAACCCCTTTTCTTAAATTGACAAATTAGGAAAATGTTTTGACGAAGCTTTGTTAGTCTTGGTCTAAAATCATTGTAATTGTCTTCAAATGTCAACACGGCTGTAAGAATTTTGGTGTTTTACAACCTTTAGCGCCTGATGATTATGGAAGACCAATTCGAGGACGAGCGGAAAATCCTCAATGAGGCTTTGATGCACAACGAGACGCAAATAAGGCAACTGGAGATGAAGTCAAAAAACACCGAAGAGCAGCGTAAATTTTCGCGCTGTGTCCTTCTTGCTCCTTACTTTCTAACCTTCCTCCCTTTGTCATGTGACCCAGCACCTTGCACGCTGCGCACGTGATTGCGTGTGCGTGCGTGTGTGCGCTCGTGACTGGTGGTTAACTTAGCCTTCAAGAAACATTTGATAAATTTGGGCAATTGTTTTACTCTGGCAAGTGTTCTTTGCAGCAAATATGCGACATGCAGTAAGGCGTAATTCAACACTGCACTAGGTGTGAATACGACCTTGAAGTTGTGTAAACACAACGGCACACACTGCTTGAGTTGCTTGTGGAGGCAGATTCGTGTGAGAGTATGTTTTGACAGACGTGAAGACTCCACTGTGACGTCATGTGTGATGGTACTGGATCCAGAGGTTGCGCTTAAGCTTCCAACGTCTGTTTTAGTTGCTCGTCTGGAGCTGAAGGAGTTGGAGTCGTCGAAGGAGAACTCGAAGTTGCACGAGCGCATAAACGAACTGCTACGCTCCCACGCCGAGTTGAATGACTCCCTAAAGAATTCAGCAGTTGTTCCCGTGTCTACGCCGCTGAGGCAATGTGAGTCAGACGTTTTGGATGTGCGTTATAATGCCGACCAGCATGTCTGCCAGGTGTTCATTTTGAAGGCACTAATGTACCGTGACTCCACAATGGCCCTGAGCCTGTAGCCTATCGTAACTGTTAATGCGCGTCCTTGTTTTTAATTTGTTTTTGTTAAAAGGCCAATTATAAAGGAGGAGGAGGGAGCGATTTATTAAGAAATAGCGTTTGTGTGTACGTGTGTTGTGTTAAAGCTGAATTGGGACTGCTGTGTCGTGTAAATGAGATGAGTTAGTGGTAAATCAGTGCAATCTCGAGTGTAATTGCCGTTTCTCTGTTTTAGCCTCCAATCGCCAGCTTGGAAACGCATTCGATACCACAAGGTTAGTTACTATCACACACACATACACACACACACACACACTATCGTCCGCTTTTATGCAAAAACGCCTCGAACAATTCACTCACTCGTATGTGCGTGTGTGTGTGTATGAGCCTTGGTGTGTATGTGATTTCATGGGTTGCATCAAACTAATCGATTCTTTTTTACCCCCTGCAGTGCCGGCCTGGGATTCGACGAGCTCTCGGCCATGGAAGCCGACTTTAGTCCACCACCGGAAGACGACCTTCCCGGTAAAGTGACGCCTCCTTCTCCTTTCCCCCCTCCCCCCGCGAATCCTGACCGTTGTGTTGCGCTCATGACAACGCTACTTTTCTACCCTTTGGCCATTAAAATTGGCATGTGTTTGCCATGTCACACTTTGGAGCGTCAACAACAAACCCCACCAATCAACCGTGGGACCTGGAAACGAGGCTTAGCAATTAATTTCATTGGTAGAATGTGGAATTTTGAATTTTCGCCGTTATGCATACCCAGTTGTGGCTGTCTGGCAAATTTCGCTTGAACAAAACACGCGTTTCATTGTCTGTCCTCTGTTTTTGAGGTGGTAAACTCCCTACTAGAAGAGTCGTTTGTGCTAGCAGTTGTATTTAGCTTTTCGGCAGGACAACGAATACCTTATTATTGATTAACACCGAAACGCAGTACCGCAACGACCTGTAACCATCGAATGATTGTTGACGTGTGCGTGTGTGTTTCTACCGGGTTGCGGAAAAGCTTAATATCGTAATGCTTATTCGAACCTCTTCATTGGTCTCTTATTTTCGCATGCGATCGCTCGTTTTGCTACTTCCCGCTTCGTTTGTGCTTGCATCTTCCCGTCCTCTGCATGCCCTTTTCGATTGCCTCATCATCATCATCATCACCATTGCCATCATCACCATCATGGACAACAACAAAACGTCCATGTAGACGAGCTAAGCGCGGCGTGCGGTCATGGCTCCGACTCTGATGCTCTTTATGACTTTGGTACGTTTGCTGGTGGCTTTGTTTTAATCCTGTCCTCATTAATGCTTTTTTTTAAATGACCGCTTTCTAGGGCTTCTAACTTTGGCCTTGAGATCCTACATCGACGGCCCTCAAGTTACACACTTAAGCCCATGCGTTTTTGATTGGCTAAGACTTCAACCTATGAGAACGCGACCTTGGTCCCAACCTCGTATTGGCTCCCTAGTGAAATTCCATCAACCAAGTTTCCTGTGTGTCAATAAACTCGGTTTTATTGTGTTTCGTGCACAACGAAATTCTACTGCTAAATCACCTACTAGTTCGCTCTTGATGTCCCGTTTGATCGTTTACTCGAAAGCATTCACAGTCGTTGGTGCCATTTGACGAAATCGAACCAGCTCAAATCTTGACCCAAATGTAATGCTCTTGTATAAATGACCGGAGTCGGGCCAGAATTTTCCCGAAGACAGGTGTTTTTCAATAGCGGTCTGCATGCATTTTGCTCGCTGCATGGCCCTATGCAATTTTCCGACACATTCGCTTGCCCCTTTTTTTGCTGGCAAGGTTGTGCTATTCGCTGCCAGTTGGGTGTTTCAGTGGATGCCTAGGATTTTACCGTGCTCTTTGCCTTACAGCTGGTATGCAAAAGGAGGTCAACATTCTGATCCGCGAGAATATGGATCTGGTTGAAACCAAGTGAGTACCTCCGCATCGTGCTTGGCTTGCGCGGCAAACGCGAGATCGTTGTCGAATGCAGTTGGAAAGTTATCGTTAACGGCCTCTGGTGATTTTATGGGTGCTAAGTCTGACCTTACTTGTGTTAACTAGTGCAAAATTTGTTTTTTTTTGCATTTGCAACGAATGTGGTGTCTTAAAATCCCCTTTTAGCGATTACTATTCCAGATTTCATTGACAAATTTACTTCACAGAATCAACACAGTCCTTGTCGTTATGAGGTCTAATTTTGTTCTATTGGGTTTCGATGTCTCGTAGTGGGTAGCGGTGGTTTTCGAGTTCTGCCGATCCCAAACGGCACCACTAAACTCTCCGTGGTTTTGCATCTTGTTAAGTTGTCTGAAGTGCTAGTATGAATAAGTTTAACTTTCTCGGCGTCCAGCTCGAAATTCCAGTCGATTTCAATGAGTTTACCAGGTTCCAGTGCATTGCCGAGATCGAGATCTTGTCGTTTTCAATCGTACAATCGCGATTCCCAGTATTGAATGCCATTGGGTGGCATAATTAGTGTCATTGTACAAAAAATTACAACGTACCTACTGTGTTGCTACCCAATTAATCACTTAGTAATCACATTTAACTGTCCATTTTCTCTTGTTTTATTTCATTTTTAGGAACGCCCTAAACGTAGTTAAGGACGACCTTCTTAACCAAAGGGACGTCTTAAAATCGTGAGTTTTCCAGCGTTTTATCGACGTTTTGAAAGTAAAATTTTTCTCAGTCTCCCATGTTTGTCGTTTAATTAACCTCGCCACCTCCAGAGTGAATTTCAAAGACGCTGAGGCCATCAATCCACGTTCGATGTCTTGCTGGGCAGTTGAATCCGCTTGCTAACTGAGTCCAACGTGCGAAAGCCTCGTAGATTAGATCTCAAATCGCATTTTAATGTCTTCGTTTAGTGAGAACCAGCTGCTGGCCGAGGCGGTGCAACAGTTGTCTGAGAAGCAAACCAAACTGCAGCAGGAACTCGCCAATTCCGACCAGCTTCTCACCGCCGCCCGCACCGAGCTCGAGGCGCTCAAGGCCTCGGTGACGAAGCTGAAGGCCGAGGCAAGTTTCCTGTCTCCCCTGCACTCCATGCTACTTTGTGGTGTAGTGAGTAGTATCGTAGCTGACGGGTTTTGCTCTCCTCTCTCTTGGTTGTTTCACCCTGCACACACACACAGCGCGGTGACAAATCCTCGTCGAGCAAGCGCTTCACCAAAGCCGAGATGGCTCGCCTCATCTGCGATCGCAATTACTACAAGGAGCGGTTCCTTGAGCTGCAGGACGCCATAAAGCTGACTGAGACCCTGAGGGCGAGTCAGCGAGGTCATCCAGAGCTGTTGAAGGACCTCCCGTCGACGGTTACCGATGTTCAGTTGCATCCTCATCAGCAGCAGCAGCATCATGGTGAGGGCGTTAGAGGCGCCTTTTCCAGGCTGTAAGTCTTGTGGTGTGGTGTGTGTGTTTTTAGGTTTTACGCGCGTTGCCCCCGCGGAGTCGACTTAATTTGATTACCTTTGCCAGGGTGAACTTGATATCTCTGCCGCGTCTCGACTTTGGTTTCGACGCTGTGAATCTCTACGATTTGCAAACGTGAGTTCCTTGATCCTATCTCCTCCTCCTCCTCCTCATGTCTCTCTCTTTCGTGTTGGTTGCGCATGCTCTAATTTCCTTAAAGGCAGTCTACTCCTTTTCAGTAGTTTTCTTCATATTCTGACAAGTAAATCGATTGAATCGACTTACTTTAGGTCACGAAACCGCTGGTGACCCAAAGCCATGCTGATTGTGTTCTCCTGATTCCATGAAGATCTTCTAAGGTCACAAATTTTACCGCAGGTTTCTGATTAAACGTCGAACAGACTGACGTTATCTGCTCAACCAATAGGCGAAGAGACGAACGCTTAGTGGATAACGTTGAAGGCCATTAAAGTTGGTCTACGTACTGTAAAACTCCTGCCACAGTTCAGCACTACCCTAAGGTCGATCATTCTGCGGCCTTTGATTGGTTAGAATGGTGGCAAGAGACCACATATTCACCAACATGACCATTTTGAGGCATTTGCTGCACATTTTACGCTTCCATTACTTGCAGGCACATGCTAAACTATGTGTTTTTCGTTATTTCCTGAGTTAAAATTGACAGAAATGACGATTTGTAATTGAAGCACGCAATGTAACGCCCGCTAACCGATGTGCTGTTACAGCGATCCCGATCAGCCACACCTTCGCCACACCGAGGAGGCAGAAGTTGCGAGCGGTGACAAGGCAGTTGTTGCGAACACCGCAGGCCCCGCTGTCCCCTTCAACTCCCAAAAGTGGATCAAACTCTACCAGGCTGGCGCTGCGGCGCCCGTCTTCGGCTGGGTCCGCGGTTTCGGCCGAGTGAAACCGGAGTCGAACTCGCTGGCCGCTGCCCCGAAAAATCCCACCTTATTGTTCAGCCCGCGCGCCTACCCGGTGCCCAAGAAGTGCCGCAGCATCGGTGGACCGAGCCTGCGCATCGAGGTACAAATTTTTGCCCTCCTTACGGCGTAGTAACCCATCTACCTCATCGTTTCTTTGACCTTGTTCACTTTTGCAGTTGACCGCCGCTATCTCCGTGCCATCGCCTGTCGAAGACAGTTGCACGGTGAGTTTCTTTGTGACCCGTGTGTATCAGCCAATCAGGGCGCGCCACGTCACATAGCCCCACACCGGTGTTGAGGTCGTTAAGGCACACTCCAGAAGTTGTTCCATGAGGTACTTGTCGAACTAGATAACGTTGCATTCACTGTCACAGTAATACAACGGCGTAGTGAAAGAATGTATGACTTTACCAACTTGGGAGGTGTTGATTCGGTCCTATGTAAGTCAAAAAGGCCTTGTAGTCGTCTAGTTCTGTCCTCCATCGCTCATAAATTCACGCTAATCGGTTTTGTGCGTTCTTTTGTCTCAAGCAACATCTCTGGTTAATCGGTCGAGGCTCCTCAATGCTCTCTGGCTCAACGAAGACCTCGAAGAACGTGGGCAAGATCTACATCTTCGATCCGCTTCAATTGACCGAGGTTCTGGTGGGTCAAGATCTGCCCGACGACTTCCTGCCGATTTCCGCAGCCGTCTTTTCCGTAGGCGGTGAGGAGTTGCCCTTGTTGTGCCCTGTGTGTGTGTGGCCCACATCGACACCAAGGCTAGTTAGTGGAGTCTCCTGATTGGCTGGTCTGTGGACCATTCAAATTCTACCTGGCTAACTCATTAATACACCTCATCTTGACACAATAAACGGGGTTTCGTATGATTGCTGATATCTGTCAAGTCACCCAGGGCTTTAAACCTGCCTGCAGCGTCAATTCCACAATTCCTGCATGAGACATATCCAACCCGATTCCAACCTAACCGATTCGAATTAAAGTTGCTTGAAAATTTGAATATACCTCCCCCAGTAATTGTCCAAAATAGTCATGTTTTGGATAGATCTGTTCTGGAGAGCCAGTAATTTACGTTTGCGTGGCTTTGTTGACCACTCATGTCTGCTTGTCATTTGGACAGGTCACGGCAGCTCTTCGCCGGTCGCAAAAAGTGGTCGGTTTATTGTCCGAGACTTTAGGACACTTCAGACGGACAAGCGATCTGGTACGTGCAAGTGTTTGCCCTGCCCTGAAGCACCACCTCATGCCTGATGGTAAACCATTGTTGGATTTAATGAACTGGCTTCCTTGTAGAGCCCGTTAACACCTTCCGCGTTCTCGTGGCTTCCTCGGACGGCCGGTTTTTAGTGTGCGCCTCCACACGCAATCCGGACGCCGTCTCGCAGTCCGACGTCTGCAAACTAGTCTTATTGGCCACCCTCAGGCTGGCCAATCCTGGTGAATCTGCCACGTCTGTGGTGTACGTTGTCGATTTTGTGTCCGTTTATTGGCTAGTACTATTGCCGTTTTGTGCTGTTGACAAGAGGCTAACATCTTACAGGTGTCTGGATTACCGCGTTTGTCTGGGCGTGCTGAATTCCTCGGGGCTGAACCAGCTGGTCACACTCAAGTGGCTGTTGGATTCGAGCGGGACACCGAAGAACGACATTGAGTTGAACCAATTCCTGCGCGTCTCCGCCATGAGTCTGCCCGGCGGTGCACCAAGCGGCCCGATGATCCTCTCCACCATCTACGATCGCGCCTTCTTCTGGCTTGGAACCGTTGGTGGTGGCGCCGTCCACTGCTTCGACCTCAACAAAAGCGCCTTTGTCACCGAGTAAGTCATCTTTCTCTGCTGTCTACTCTTGCGGCTGGAAAAGTTGATTGGTCGGCGTGTGTGTGTGTGTGGTTGGACGATGACTTAGAATGACGTCAAAACACACTGAATCGATCGTTGGCTGAAAGTCGATGTGTTGTGAAAGCACTCCGTCCAACTCAGGAAGAGGTGTAGTGACCATCTGGGGTTTTATTCATTTGTTCAGCCTCTACTGAGTCACCCGACCGGTCAATTTCTCATTCAATCCCCCTGGAAGTCATCGTGCTCCCTTTTAGACTAGCTCTTCCCTCACAAACGCCCTGTCTGCACGCCGTTGCCGTTGGTCACAGGGCCTCGCCGGACGCGGACTCACGACTCATTTGGTTGGCAGTCTCAGGTCTCAGTTCCCAGGCATCGACGCAACAGCGGACCTCTGATTCCTCGTCGGAGACGGTGTCCATTGGACCGCTGTCGCGTCTTCTCTCCATCTGTTCCAAGAAGCACCTTTTCCTGCACAACATTGACTTGACCAGCGTCCTCACCTCCATGATCGGTAGGTGGGGTTGTTGGTCATCTTGAATGGTTTGTGTGGTGCGTCGGAATGCGCCTTTTCCATCCACTGTTGTAGACATGACGGACGTGGTGGATCCCGTGGATTTGACCGTTTCCCGGCTACTTGTGCAAGGCGACGAGTGCATCTGGTTCTCCACGCGTTGCGGCCTCATTGGACGGTTCTTCAACGCCTCCCTTCCAGCAGGTAGAATTAACCGGCGAGTAGGTTTTGGCTAGCGCGCTTCATCAGCCTCCCATATTGATCCAATCGTTTTTAGATGCTGCGCATGGTTCCCCAACAGAAGTGCTTAACCAAGACGCAATATCGCTTAGTTGTCATGCCTACAGGCGCCCAGTTTCTGCCCTCATCACTATTCGAAGTAAGCACCCTGCGTCTGTTGATTCTGCGTACACTTTGAGTTCGTATGTTTATTATTTACTAATTACCCAATCAATACTCAAAGCTGCCCTTTCACCATTGGCTGAAAATGCACCAATCGAATCACGCGTTTTGGTAAATTAGCCAATCGGTTCCCACACCTGTCTGACCATAGGTCGTTTACATGTGCTGGCCTGACAATTACAATCTGATGCCGTTTTTTCACTTTAAGATCGCGTAGAGGCTCCCAGTGCTGATAGCCAGGACACGAAGGCAACCGCCTCACCGTCATCAAACCAGGCGTCGTTCTTGGTGGTTGCCGTTGGACACGACTACACCTATCTACGAACTTCTACCCCGGCAACGCGTGCCCCGCCAGCAACCTCCGCCATCGTTTCTGGTAAATTTTTCGGCTTCCGCAGAACGTTTTGTCTTGCATTGCTCTCCCAAAGTCAATCGAAGGCGATAATTGAAGTTTCCATGGTACCCATTTGTGCTCAGAATCGCTAAGGTCCAATGGACAAAAAAATATCCATTTTTGAGAGTTTAATTGAACCAAAATTTGGATGTGCTACTAGGTTTAAGCTCAATCCAGTTGCTTACTGTAAATCAACCTTGTTTTCTCTTCCTTTTGCTGTAGCAGTGAACCAGTGTGTTCGGCGTTCCTTCACAGGCGCGCATGCAATCGTGTGGAGCGTGTATGTGTGACTAATCAACTGTGATAGGCCGAAACCCCCTTCGCTCTTTCTTGCTTCTAACGTGCATTTCTTTGATCTGTTACGTTTGGTTTTCTTCTTTACCTATCTGTCTATCCATTCATATCATTGGTTTTCGCGCCGGTGCTACTTTCGCCCCTTTTTTTCTAAACTAGCACGCTGTTTTGGTTTGTTCTCTTTACTGATATGTTTGCATTCTACTTCAACCATGACCTTGCGCTCCGCCAATCGGCTCGTTGTATGGCGGTTAATGAGTGCATTTGTCAGAGATGACCTCCGTGAGCGTCACCTGTGGTTACTTTGGTTTGATTCCGATTAAACTCTCCATCCACAATGACTTTTTGCTGCATTGTGGCACAACACCATGTTTACTACAGTTTTGACCTTGGGCTCTGCCAATCAGCTAAAGCTATGACCTTGCGATTAGCCAATCAGCTCGTCGTATGGCGGTAGATGAGTGCATTTGTCAAATGCGACCTATGAGCGTCACTCGTGGTTACTTTGGTTTGACTCCGCTTAAACTCTCCATCCACAATGACTTGTTGCTGCATAGTCGCACCACACTAAGCTATCTACAATTGTGATTGGTCATTGTTAACGAAGCATATCATCGCAAAGTGGAGTGCAATGGCCAATTGTGCTTCAATGAGTGGGCTTTTGTGGTTTGCGTCTTTTATCCTATTGATTAGTTAGAGGAAATCTTCATGAGAGTCGGCAGCGTCTATAATTGTGTTCTCTAAAAACTCTAGATAAGTTGGGTTAAAAATATCTGAAAAACAATGGTTAGGTTGGTCTGATAGTATTAGGTTCGACAGGATGGAAATAAAGAATAAAAGGGTACCTTATTGCGGTTACGCGGTGTGGTGCTATGAAACATTCTGGCCTTCGTGTAGCAATACAGGTGCATTAATGGACGCTTAATTGCAACAAGTCTCCATTGCTTATGCCGTCAATCATTGTTTCTGGCTGTTTGCTCCACTAATTAATATGGCCTTAAATCACAGAGAAAAGGAGGAATTGTCCGGAGTGGATGCGAACTTACAAGAAGCTGCAATATTAAAGAAACAGCCACATTGCCTCGTAGAACAGCGTGTCATTGGACCAGATTCATTGATCTGCATCTAATCACATAGACGCCTGTCAAGGATTACGAATGAAGGCAAATTTTCCAGATTTTTTTGTTTAAACCTTCAGAATGTTAGGTAATCTGTATTTAGATGTAAAGACATAGGGCTCTGGTACAAAAGGAAAATGTGTGGCATTCTAAAAGTCAAGGGAACTTATTTTATTTGAAAATGTGGCCAGTAAGTCGACATGGTAATGCAAGGGAAAAATTATAATGAATCGAAAGAATTTTTCGCAAGTATTTCAAAGCAGCATATATTTTGCCAGTAAAATTTCATAATTTCTGAGACTGATTTTTGCTATTCCTATTGAATACTTTACCCCTAAATACAAGCGTTTGTGTTTGTTCATAGGATATCGTAATCCATCTAGTAATGGTAAAAAAATGTCCAGACAGTCAAGCAGATCAAGCATGAAATATGGAAAAATAGTACAATTGCATAATTTACGATACAATATGCAGAAAATATACAGAAAAGTATGCCATCGAAAATGCAAGAGAGATCTCAGTTAAAGCAAATGCAAATGTTGCCATTTCGCTGTTTAAAAGCTCTCCGATTTGCAAAAAAGAGTTGGAGATAACTCGGTAATAAAAAATAATTCCAAATTCTCTGTCATTGATTAGCATACAAAAGTTTTACAAAAATTGATTTTGTGTGAGTCAATAGAAATTTCATAAGATGCTATTTTCAGTCAAACCAGTTACAAGATTTAAAAAAATACCTTGAATTCACCAACGTGGTTTGGTTGGCATATCGCGAAAAAAAAATATTGTCATGCTTCATGCTCCTAATCACAGTCAATGCGAAATTGTAAATTTCGCCTGATATTATTAAAAAAAATCTAGGATGAAATACTCATCCACCTAACATCATTAAAGATCGAAATTTATGCACCAAATAACTAATTTAATAGTAAGGAGATTTAAACTATTGTGTTGAAAAAAGTCATGAGATGTTATATTATATTAAAACACTCTTTTAGATGCGTTTGAATAAAAATATTCACCGATATTTATAACCATGTAATTACATCGTTTTAAAAGAATTAATTCTGTTTATTAAGCTAGGGGTATAAAACATTGTTTAATAGTATTTTTATAAGTTAGAACGAATATTTGTTTTACATTTGTTTAACTTCTTGCAATTACTTTTGGGATTATTTGAGGTGACTAATTGTGCGTTTCTTGTGGTAGTAATGTTGGCGTTCTTGTCAATTTTAACCACAGCACGTTATGTCTTTCCCTTTCAGTAGATGGATACTGTTCCTATAACGACCCACATTCCATTCTTGGCCTTCACGGTGCCTATCGAGATTTTTCTTTTACTGTCATTAATTTCATCGTATTTCTTTTTATCGTAAAGGCCATTATTTTAATGACTGACCGAGATGTTTTGAGTATCTCCTGATTTTAGTTATCTGCAATCGGTTTTTATTAAGGTCTGCTGTTATCAAACAATTTATGATATTTTCCCATGGCTCACGTCAGGATCTCTTTCTTGTGACTCAAGTCGCAAATATTTCTTCTGAGGTTGACAATGCATTTTCGCTTTTTTAGAGCAGTAACTTTGGCAATGTCAGAAAGTGTGACTTTGCCTGATGGTCGTCCAGTGGATTCTCTGAAAGTTGCTGAACTTAAAAAGGAGTTGGACGCTCTCGGTTTAGATAAAAGCGGACTCAAGAAAGACCTTGCACAACGTCTAACGGAAGTCAGTATTTCCATTATTGTTAAAAAATATAATGTGCATGTTCTTTTCTCTTCCCAACACTAACTGCTCTTTTTGTTAATTCAGGCGCTTTTGGCTCGCACACGTAGTCAGGCTGCTCAACACAAATCGGATGAAATTATTTCCGATAAAAAGGAGTCAGTTAAATCAAAAGCAGTTGAAAAGTAATTGTGTTTCCCTTTATGGAGAATCTGTTTCGCTAAATACGCATTAATTTATACACTTTTGTGTTTTAGATCCCCTATCAAGTCTGTATGTCAAATGGATTATATTTTCCGATTCAGTTTTTTTGGTATCTGCTGTTTGCAGTATGAATTTTTTTACTCTTATAGCTGGTTAATTAGCAACTCGTTTTTTGGTATTTAATCTTTGATGAATCGCTATGATACTATGGCTTTATCTATTTTAATCAAGTCGCCGACTAAAGGTGGTGATGACGAACAAGGAACTGGATGCCTTGAACATTCATGTAGGTTTTATCTTGCTAATCACATTTTATTCTTTTTCATAAATTTCCACCACCCCATTAACAAAATTTTGTTAGACTATGGGTTTTCGTTCTCCAAAAAACACCATTTGCTTCGCCGTTCATCAACAGATTAATATATAAACTGTTGTTAATCAGGATTAATTATAATGCTGTTAATTCTGTCTTCTAATAATTGTTTACAATAGCTCCAGAAAAGCAATCTGAATGTGTTGACGGAACAAATTTACAAACAGAACCGGAAAACCCCGTCAAGTCTCTATCTCCGGTCCACACGACAATCTCTCCGTTAAAGAAGGCGAATATTGACCAGAATCCTGAGGTAGTGATATTTATATCCCTTAAATCACGGCATTTAGTTTTCTGAGCTAATGAATGAATATGTTTTGACCGATTTGATTTGAGCCCTCTGTCGCTCACGTTTACTCCAGTTTAGGGGTCAGGCGAATTTGTTTTTTATTGTATTTCTCCCAGCAAGTAGTATTTGTGATAGTACTAGCTGTCAGCCCTAGATGCGTTTTCGGACAGTGCGGAAGTTATTGATTGGCTACCTTGATTATTATCATTATCGAATCAGCCATTGTGGAGCCAAGATATCTGGCCACTGCTACAATTAATGGTCCTCCAAATCACTAAATTTTCGATATTCGTTCTCCCATTGTTCGGGAGTTAGTTTTGGCATCCGTGAACACCATCCATTTGTCAATTTAAACGCTTTAACAGAATAATATGCGTTAAATATACCACCATATCGACGTGCTGTTTTAAAATTAATGCTCACCGCTGCAAAATCTCCCTAGTCCGAGCCGGGGCTTAAGTTTCTACTGGACAAACTCGAAATCCGTCATATTCTTGTCTGATTTTGGCCACTATTTTAGCATTGAGGCTTTAAACGGGAGGTATTTGTAACACGAGTTTGGCATGAATCACACAGTAATCCAGTTTTGGTTTCAGACTTCACCATCGCCCAAGAAAAAACCAGTCGAAATAACTGAGACAGCTCCCGACGCGGTTTCACCCAAACACTCGGTAGACCTAGGAGAAATCCCCTCGTCAGAGACTGTTGTTTCTGAGGCGGCGGAGAATCAGGTAGGCTTCGCTTTCTCTCCGGAAACCAGCCCCACAACTGAGCCTCAGCCGGTCCAAGGTGGCCACTCGCCCAGTTGCGTTGACGTGAACAATCTCGTCCCGACGACTGAGGACACTCAGGCCAGTCCCCCTGCTTCCGCGTCGAGGGCTAAGCCTTCGCAGAAGTCTTCAGCCCGCAAAGCTCTTCCACTCGCCACCGCCGAGGCCTCTGATGAATTTCACGAGGAGGAGGAGGACTACGGCGAGGTGGAGGATGACGAGGCGTCCAGCAACACGGCCACCTCCCAGCCAAAGGCCGACACACCCGCATCCGCAGCTGTTAACGGCGATGCCTCAAGACCATCTCCTCCGCCCCCGCCCCCTGCTAAGAAAGGTTAGAACCCACTTACCCGGACTAGTCATTCTTGTAAGGTCTTCATTCGACGTGCCTATTGGTTTATCACATGGCTTCCATCTGATTGCATTTCCACCCAATATGCGACAAATTAGATCCGTCTGTCATTGCATTTGTCCACATAACCGTCTATTAGGTTTTGTGGTGTTGTATTGTGGTAAATCGGAATTGTGCGATGGCGTGCCTGTCTGTTTTGTGTACTGTGATCCGGTATTGTGCGAAGTCAACTTCACTCTCGTAATTCAGTATGTTTTTTTGCTTTCATTTGGTGCTCAACTTACACATAATTTAGCCCTGTCGCATGCTCGATTCCCCGTTGGCTGACATGGTGACGGTGGGTGCTATTGGGAATTTCTAAATCCGTATTGGATGTTTTGTCAAGTAATAAATAACGTCACCTCATAGCCGCAGACGACAATTCTAGTGCTAGGGTGTGTTGAAGAGGTCTAATTTGGGGTTAAAACCCTTGTTGGCAACCTTTTTTTAAAAACAGTACAACATCAGGTTCTATTTAAAGCGGTCGATTTCATTTCGTTCCATTGTGCTATGCTCACATGCGATTTATGCAAAACTTGAGATCCATTGATGCCCCCTACCCCTCCCCTCCACCTCCTACTCCACACACCCTCTATTGTCAGAAACCCGCGGCGTCGGATTCATCGTAGAGGGACCGGAGCGCGTGAGTGCAGCTGCCGCCGCCAAGTGCCCGCCCTCCCAGATGGTCTACATTCGCTGCCTCGTGCGACCCTTCACCGCCGGTCAGCTCTCCGCCATGCTGGAGGCCCACTTCGGCAAGCCCGAGGAGCTGTGGCTGGACAAAATCAAGTCTAGCGCCATTGTCCGCCTGGCCGACGAGACTGTGGCTGCCCGGTGAGTCCTGTCGTGGTCAATTCGCCTCCCCACCCCCCACCTAAACCCGTCGCCAGGTTTTTACCATCTAGGTTTCGTTTTCGTCAAGGTGTTTGACTTGCCCCAAACGGACCAGTTTTACCGCTCTTTTCGTGTTTTTTTTTCTTTGTGGTCGAGTAGATGCCGAGAGGGTCTGGACGGGTGTCGTTGGCCCTCGATTAACCCCAAAATACTCCACTGCGAGTTCGCCTCGCAGGAGCTCTTCACTTGGCTCAAACAGCACGGTGAATCGGGCGATCGTCCTCCGCCCAAGTACCTCCTCGGTGGCACCGCCGGTACGTCCTTAAACACCCTCCATTTCACCCACCTCCCCAATTTAGACGAATTTAAGCCTCTGTTGAACCGATTTGTGCTGATGGTCGTTCTGTCGAAAGTGTTCCATACAATCAGTGTTTAGGTAGTTATGGTAGATGAGTTTGTGGTGTTCAGTGAAATTGGTCACTTGTTGCAAAGGAACGGAAGTGGCAACTGAGGGAGACACTAGTTGCCTCCCTTGTTATTGAAGCCCGACCGGTTGCCGTCACGATTAGAACGAGGCAAGTGGCTATCCTTCCGTTGATCCCGTGGTACTTGAGTTGGAGATTTCGATGGAAGAATGCCAGGTATTTATCAAAGTTCGTACTTAGTGTTGAGGTTATGTTCTATACGTCAACTCAAGATCAGGCGACGTTCTCAAGGCGTCATTCTCCTCTACCTGTTGGGACCTAAGACATGTTGCTGTGTTTCCCTTCACAAATTGATACCATAAGATGCAAATACATCACTTTGACGTATGTCTTTGTCGCTAAATTTGTCGTGGGTTTTTCCCTCCAACAGACGACACCGGACAGGCTGGTGACAGAAAACGTCCACTTGCGAGCGGAAATTCAAAGTCTGCGGGCCAATTAGAGAACGAGAGAAAGCGACGTCGCGTGGCCGACGGCGATCCAACCACCGAGCACCGCGGAAAAGGTAGTCAAGTAATTATTCTGCTTTTTTCTGCATTCTAAATCCCCCAATGTTAGCGCTGCCACAGTAACACGAGTCACTACTGCTTATCCATGTACTGCAGTCTTCCGTGTAATAACTCAATTTCTCCTTATCGATTTTATCTTTTTTTTGTCCGTGCTAGAAGAGGATAATTCGAAGTCGTTGGACGACCTCTTCAAGAAAACGGACACCGCCCCTAGCATTTACTGGTTGCCTCTGACGGATGAGGGGGTGCGTTTCACGGTCCCCTTGTTTCTTGACGAATGCAGACTTCGCCACGCCTTAACACTGCGTCGTGTTGTTGTAGGCTGCTGCGCAGTTGAAGGCCCGGACAGAGAGCTATCTCTCGGAGAACGCCCGCCGACCCGTGCCTAGACGAAACGTGGATGAGAGGCGACGGGAGACACGCAGTCCCTTCACAGGCGAGCTCAGCAACGGCTCCTCCGGCCTGCTTGCCAGGAAGCCGACAACCGACGACGCCATTGGTCGTGACCGGAGGGCAAAAGAGCGGGTACGCAGTGTCTTGTCAGTTGTTTATTGGCAGACTTGTTGAGGCAAAACTGGCGTTGAGTTCTTTGAGTGGTTTCAGAATCACCGCCGACTTGGGGGCGCAAGAGTACAGTTGCAGCTAATGAGCCTGTCTTGCTCGCTTTCAGTCCCCGTCGATTGGATCGAAGCGTGCCCGCGACCGGCGTCGTTCCCCGCCACCACGATCGCCGCCGTCGTTGTCGCGCAGACCGCGCTACGCGTCCAGGACACCCTCGCCTAGGTTTGCGGCGCCGCTCGCCTCGCGGCGTCCACCTTCGCCGCCGCCTCGCGGCAGGCGACGCTCGGCTCCCCGCCTCAGTCATTCGCCGAGAAGGCGATAATTCACGGCCGCGGGAAGACTGTTGTGTGGAAATGTCAATCGCTCCCTTTCTCTCTGTGTGTAAACCTCTAATATTGATAATGCAGTTTTATTGCCTGCCCAGGCGTGTCTGCAGAGGGATGTTCTGTTGGATTGTTGTTTCGACGCATGGGCACTAATCTGATTGGTGGCGGTTGCTGTTGTTGTAGTGTTGGCCGCGATCAAGGCCACCCCCGTTTTCTCGCAGTCTATCGCTCGGCAATTTCGGTAGCCTTGCGAAGGTAGTGGGTCAGCTGACTGATTAGCGATTGGCCGGCAATTATACAGCTAAAATGACCTCAAGTCGACACGTTGGGGGTCGGGTCGTGTGTTTGAAAATGCATTTCTTGCATTTCATCTTGCAGGCGCCATGACAAGCTGACTTAGATCTATTCAGTGGCACGGTTTTGTAAAATCCAATCATTGATGACCAAGAATTTCAGCTGCGGTCATCGTAAGCGATTATTACGAGAGACTGTTCATGTGTGCATTGCAAATGTTTAACTTGGTTGGTCCTTAGGTCTAACTTCTTTCTGGAGTCCATCTTTTTGAGTGCATTCAAGAAGGGTCATCTAACAGTAGAAGTTGCTGAAGCCTCGGACAGTATTGAAGTTAAGATAGGAGACTCCACAGATGCATGGTGTTCGCTTTGGCGACGGCATTTAGCTCTTGAATTGACGTGCCCCGAACGTGGAGAGCAGTGGCATGACAGTCGTGCGTGGATCAGATCTGATCGACAACGATGTCGTGGTAGCTGTTTACACACTCTTCAAAACACACCAGACAGATCTAAATAGTTGTCACATGATGAAACCAAGATCCAGTGACTAGAATAATAAATGCAATCCAAATGTTAGGAACGGCGAAGTTCTCGAAGGGGCATCGTTTCGCGTGGTTAAAATCTGTTGAGTAGCTGCGTGACTTCTGGGAATCAGTAGGCTCGTTTTATTGGGTTACAACGCCTCCACTTCGGAATCGGTACAAGTATTGTACCACTGTATCCGCTCAAATTCAAACAAGAACTTGACTATTTCCGAATTGGACTTCACGGGACATGTGACAATCATCTGGTACATGTATCTACAAATGCCTATTTAATTGAAGCCACCCAAATGTGAAAACGAGGTCGACCTGTGTGCACACTTTGAATGTCCTTTGGACAAAACGAATACAGCGTGGAAGGTGCCGCTTGATTGGAGGCAACAGAGTTTCGGAGCAAAACCATGCCAACGACTTCTGAGGAACCCATGAAACATCACAAACGCAGCCCCGGCGAATCATCTTGATGCGCGATATCTGATTGGCCGCCCACAGTCAGCTTTGCAGCAGCATCTGATTCCTCTCAACCTGATGTGAAGACGCATTGCCCTCACTCGACAAGTACGATGAGATCATCACCACCACACCCGCTAAAAAGTAGCTAAAATCGGACAGGTTCACCAGTGATTCAGCCTGGACAAAAGTTGACATACACTGACAATAGACACCGCAGTTTACACTTGAATTTTCTTTAGCGGAAGAGTTCAGAATCCCATCCCCAAAACTGGAGAACTGCGGCAATGCATAATTTACTCGGGCGAAAAATTGAAAATGTAAGATAAAAACACCGCCACTATCTGAGTATTTTGTGGGATTGGATCGCGCAAGTATGAAAGACAACTGGGTGAACATTTACAAGGGGAACAAGTGAATCCAATGGCAACGAAATGGCTCAGCAACAGCTGGACGAAACAGGGGCCTCGTCACGGAGCGAAATTCTGTTGTGCGGCGGTTGAGGGGACCTATAGGATGCGATAGCCCCTCTGCTGCCGTATCCTTCCTTAATGCCGTCCCAACCACTCACAGTTTCGAGCTGTAATAAAACAAATAAACCAATCAGATGTGATCGAACAAAAGACAAGACTAACCTGAAATGATTACGGTACTATTGTGGCCTCATAGTCAACAAAGAAAAATCAGTGTGAAGATACTGTACACGAAACTCGCGTGATAAACCATTCAATGCTAGAATTAACAAGGGAGGAACAATCTTAGTCTGACGCCGGAGAGACAGCTAGCTGGCGTATAGAAATGGGTCGCACCAATCACACGTAAACATCTATTTATACACCCATGTGCATGTACCACTCCTGCTACTCCCACAGCATATCAGCCCATTCGGTCATTTCTCCTTTTGCTAGTCCAACAATGTGATAAGTCATGCACAACACAGAATACGCAGAACAACAAAAAAACTTGTCAGGTATGTGTGTGGCACAGTCGGGCCAATACAAATCAGCGGCTCCTGTGCGGTTCGACACCACATACTTGGGTCTTGAAAGCGATAAAGTCAACAACCCAAGGTGATACAGAGTAGTGAAATACCTCATGTAGCTTGAGAGCACTTGAGCGCCCATACTGCGACAATACACAGCTAACCGAGAAGATCGCACACTACGGCTAGAAACGAGGGAAAAAATCAGTTGACTGAAAGGGTAGAAAAGCCTACATTCATAAGCACTTACTTCGACATGGGAGGTATCGTTACTGCTTGCATTCGAGTCTCTAGAGAAGGATGTTTACGTTTAAGGGTTGGTGATTAGCTGAAGAGTTGTCACATGACCAATAATGGTTCCAGCCGAATTCCGAAACACACAACCGCGGTAACAGTACAAAACCGTTTGCCGAAGACAAGTTTAGCTCAGAAAAAGTACTAAATGGACAATGAATACTAAAGTAACCGGAAGATTTTGACAGTGAAAAGCGGCAGATACGGCGGTGAAAAAAAGGAGAAAAACCTCAAGGATAAAAAAAGGAACTCAAGACACAACAGACCAGGAAATCAGAAATGCAAAAGAACAAATTAGCTTACGTTTCTAAATCCACCAGCCTGCATATGATTGTAAACAGATTCGGCAAGCAAGTAGAATGCCTGCTCAACGTTGGTACCAAGAAGTGCCGACGTTTCCATATAAGGTATGCCCAAGCTTTGAGCAAGAGCTTCTGCTTCTAGACGTGATACCTACAACGAAAGCCCAATTTAAAACACTAAAACTATCTCAACGAGCGAAATCAAACTAGGTTACTTCAAAAGACTGGAGCAATTGTCAGTAAAAGCTAATTTAACTTAAATAAACAAACCTCTCGGCGATTTTCCAGATCAGCCTTTTGTCCACACAGCACAAACATTGCTTGTTGACTCCTCATGTTAGCAGAAGCGTCTTCATACCACCCCTTTATGTGATCAAACGACTCACGGTTCGTAATGTCAAAAATCAACAACGCTCCAACTGCATTCCGATAGTAGGAACGAGTAATTGATCTGAGACTCAAAATAACAAACGGTATTTTACTTGAATTTTTCCTGGCCTGCAGTATCCCAAAGTCGCAGCTTAACTATCTTGCCATCGGACAAAATTATATTACGAGAGAAGAAATCGACACCAACGGTCGGTTCAGGTGTGGAAGACAACTTGCCTTCATGAAAATATTGAAGAAGGGACGACTTTCCAACGGTACTGTCACCTATTAGAATTAAACGAAACTGGTAGTCAAAGTAGGGACCAGCCATTTAGAAATGGAATAAATACAGCAGGTGGAGAAATGTTTAAATGACCCGGGAGTCATCCCTGAAGTGTTGGCCAACAAATTGCTTACTAAAACTTGATCAACCTATATATTTACTGAGACATCAAAAATCAAAAGAACAAAATTAATGCTACCACCTAGACCACAAAGTACACAAGGAGACGACTTAAATGACATCTCCGCGACAAAGACTTATTTGTTTTTTATGCATATTTGCAGTTTTTAAATCAGAATTTATGGAAAAAAATTACACGCTTGAAATTTTTATTTAAAACCACGTTGAAATTTTGTGCATTATTGTCTGCGTCACCTATTGGCAAACCCAGGTTCATAGACCTTAATAAGCTGTTGATCATGGAGTATTTCATGGAATGAAATTTAACCAAAAAGCAACACTACAAACGAAAGTTCCTTGAAAAATGCAGGTTGTTAGATAGACGATGCACTAAGGCAATGTTTCTTTCATCTAGGTTACTAAGTTTAATTTTAGTTTTTGTAAATTTAAAGAAAGCATCACCTGAGTAAATTGAAATGTTCATTTTTCCTTAAGCTTTTGTTTTGCCAACTTCGATTTGTCTAGTTTGATTCACAAATAAACGTGAAATTAACTGAGATTAAAATCACAACTATAGTAAATGCAAAGTAAGCTATAAATTACATTGCTTAAATCTTGACTACATGTTGACATATATCAATAAAGAAATGTGTAGTCAGAGCATCTCAAAATTAACAATCCTAGGTATCAAAATTTGTTAAGCGCCTAATAAAATCTGTACGTAAGTAAGAAAAAACAGGCAACTTCCAGAAATATTTTTCGCATGTCGTAAATAGATCCAGGTTTATTAATAAATCGTTAGAGGTCAACAACAGAACTAGATGGATAGAAATAAAATTTTAATGTATTTTTTATCGAATAAAGCACATCTGTAATAAAAAAAATTTTAACAGGTGTTTTTATTTATTTAGAACGTGCTTTGACCAAAATTTTTACATTTAGTACTTTTTTAATAACCTAATTTTAGGTCGCCAGAAATGCCACTTAATTTAAATACAGTCAACGTCAGTGTTGGTGTAGGTTATTTGGTTATTTAATGCCATGTCACGTTTCTATGGTTTTTGTGGATTTTACTTCATGCTTGGTCTGTTACTCTGAATACGTTTACGCATTTACTTTCGTACTGATGTCTATTACTATTGTGTTACTGAATTAACTCGGGTTAATTTACGTGTGTACAATTTTATAAAGTTGTTTGAATTATATAGTCCCTTCTTCCTTTATCTTTGCTGAAAATGTGGAACTTTGTAAAGTCTTAAGTACGCTTTAATATCATCTGGCCTCATTGAAATGTGTATTTTTCGCAGGAGCATGGGTGCGATTCTAGTGATATCTGTGAAGTCCCAAGTCATTCAAATGTAGAATGCTATGACAAAGTCAATTTAAATAGTTTGAATTATGCGGATTTTATATAATTTTTGGTTTTTCGATGATTTAATGCCTGGCAAGTATCTTTGGGGGTAGTATTACCAACGAACTTATATTAACATCTCAATTCTTTTGTGTTTGCTAATGTTGCATCGTAGTTTTTCTTCTCATGATTTGGCGTGATGTTGTTCCTCTTTGCGTTTGTTGGCGTTGTGCGATGGTATACCAGTCTTGGAGGTTGATTCGCTCACGTAGTGGTGGCAAGCTATTCAATGCAGTTTGCCACGTGTCTTTGTGTTTGTTGCAAACTGTTTTGATTTATTGTTTTATCTAATTTATTATGATTAACAACTATAAATAAGTACTCTTATTCAGTCCTTTTTTCCTTCATTTCGTTCGCATCGACTTAAAATTGTCGTTTTCTTTATTCAAGGTGCTTTATTGTAATCAATGCAGCAACAACCGCCATTCAGTGCTGCAGGGTATCAACCCTACATGTACCCTCAATCTCCGAAACCCGCACCAGCTGTCAATGGCATAGCTTCACAACCGCCAAACGGGTTAGATAAATTCCCTTTAATAGACCTTAATGTTGGTATCAGTGTGAACGTGCGTTTCTTATATTTTAGTCTACCTTCACTGCAACCACAAAATTGTCCTCCTGGCCCGCAAATGATGTATAACACTTCTACTACTGCTGAAGGTGCATTAGCCAATCAAATTGGGGCCATGAGTCTCAGCCAATCAGAGCAACCTCCGGCTTCACCATACCAAGGTTACACGTCCTCACAGCAGCCAATGGCAAACTACACCCAGATGATGCCGGTCGGTAATTATCCACCACCTATAGATGCTACCAATACTGTTGGGTCGCCAATAGCTCCTCCCGGTCCGCAGTTACCTCCACTAAACGCGTCGGCTTCGCAGCATCAGCGTCAGCAGTACCCTCAACAAACGTACAATCAACAGCCACCGCCATATCAGACCGGATTCCCACCAATGGGGATGATCCCTCCTACCTCACCCCCTATGCATCCGCCGCAGCCACCTGCCGCACCCAAAGCCCCGTCGGCTCGGGCAATGGCCGACAATATGCCCAATGCCGTCGAAGTGAGTGATCGTGCTTGTTGTTTATTCTGCTGTGTCAGTTCAACTCTTCAGTTGCAAATAACCGCTTGTCAAGGTCCCTTACCAACTGATTTTGATATTTCGCTGCTCGCTTTTAGGTTATTGAGAACGACAGAAGTCGTCGTGGAGGTGTTGCCTTTCTGACCGGTCCAACTGGAGTTGCTCCACCACTTTCAACAACAGACTTCGCTTGTCGCGATGAGGGAAACTGTAACCCGCGTTTCATTCGTTCCTCTCTCTACAATGTGCCAACATCGTCTGACCTGCTCAAGCAAATTGGACTGCCTTTCGTGCTCTCCATCCAACCCTTTGCTCCGCTTCATCGAGACGATCAGCCCCTTATACTCACCGATATGGGCCCACAGGTTACCATAAACCGTCTGAACTTGACTAACTCTTGTCTACTTAGTCCTGAATGACTCTTTCTCTCATTAGGGCCCTGTTCGATGCGTGCGGTGCAAAGCCTACATGAATCCCTTCTTCGTCTTCATCGACGGTGGCCGGCGTTTTCAGTGTTCCATGTGCGGAGCCTCTACGGAGGTACCTCCAGACTATTTTGCGCATCTAGACCACACTGGTCGACGCATTGATGCTTTCCAACGGCCGGAGCTCTGTCTTGGTAGCTACGAAGTGGTCGCAACCAACGAGTATTGCAAAAACAACGAACCGCCTCTCCCGCCCGCTTTCATCTTCCTACTGGACGTTTCGCACACGTCGGTGCGTTCAGGCCTAGTCAACTTATTCTGTTCGCGATTCATCACCGACATTCTCCCAAATTTGCCCCGGTAAGCGTTTTTCTTTTAGTTTGAAGGCAGGCTCAAGAAGAGTGTGGCGTCTATTGTTGCATTTACGATCTAGAGACGATCAGGACGTTGCAAGCGGGGCTGTCTCAGCTGACAGTCAGAGCCCCATATCGATCGGATTCATTACGTACGACAGCCAACTCCACTTCTACACTCTCGTGCGTCCGGGCACGGCCGGCGCCGAGCCCGTCTCGAAACCGCACATGTCCGTGGTGGCGGACACCGCGGACGTCTTTGTCCCCTCGGTGGACGGTTTTCTGGTGCCACCCAATCCCACCATCCTCACTAACCTCCTGAGCACGATTCCGGGCCAGTTCATTTCGGTGCAGGGCGCCAACGCCCAGGCCTCTCCCTCGCCCGATCCCATTCTCGCACCCGCGGTGCAGGCTGGTCTGGAGGCCCTCAAAGCGGCCAATCGATGCGGCAAACTCTTCATCATGCACTCCTGCCTTCCGACTGCCGACGCGCCTGGAAAACTCAAGTTTCGCGAGGACCGACACCTGATTGGAACTGATCGCGAGAAGGTACGTTTACGCCTTATGGGCGTTGGGTTCTTCCAAGTAGTTGGAATGTGTTGGTCGGCTCTTCGGTCAGATTTTCGAATCTCGACCTATTTACCAGCATTGAAGGTGGTACTCAGACTGCGAACCATGAAGTCTGAAGTGTTTATTTAACAGTTGCGCAAATCGCCCGACTGTTTTTTTTAATCATCTAGACACTGCTGCAGCCAGCTACAGACTACTACACCAAACTTGGCAAAGACTGTGTCGAGGCCGGTGCTAGCGTAGACCTCTTCCTCTTCCCCAATTCCTTCGTTGACGTGGCTACCATCGGTGAAGTGCCCAAGTTGACGTCTGGCAATCTTTACAAGTACTCGTACTTCCAGGTACGCGAAACCCCATTTTTTTCTCTGTTTTTGGAACCTAAAATTCACCCCTTACACATCAACCCCTCGTCCTAGCCAATTCGGACGCCTCCTTGGCTTCTGTAAGGACTGGATTAGTGTATTTTGATGTTCCCCCTGACCACGGAGTTTATGCGGTGGTAACTCGTTTGACGCATGCATCCCTCTTTTCATCTAGGCTGACATACAAGGCGAGCAGTTCCTGGCGGATCTGCGGAAGGCCGTAGCCCGGCCGAAAGCCTTCAACGCCGTGATGCGAGTTAGAACGAGCACGGGGACACGGCCGTTTGAGAGCCTCGGCAATGTCAACCTGCCCAACACCACCGACGTGGAGTTGGCGGCCGTCGATTCCAACCAGGCCATCTCCTGCGAGATCAAGTATGACGACAAGTTAAGCGACAACGACCTAGTCTTTATTCAGGTTCGTTCTCTTCCTGCTTAGTGGTTGTTTGCAGCTCTCTCACTTTCTTCTGGATTGTCGTTATGCTGTTTTTGATCTTGCAGGCGGCAATCCTCTACACATCGGTGGGTGGACATCGTCGACTGCGCATCCACAATCTCTCCCTGTCGACGTCCAGCGCACCCGCGGACATCTACCGTCTCGCCGACCTGGACACCTACATGACTTGGCTTGCCAAACTGGCCATCCAGCAGTCTGTGGCGAAGACGTCGGTGCAGATTCTCACCGACTTCACGGCCAAGGTGGCACACACCCTCGCCGGCTACCGGAAACTCTGCACCAACTCTGGCGGCCCCTACGGCGGTGGCAACCCCGGCGAACTTGTCCTCCCGGAAACCATCAAGTTGCTTCCCCTTTACACCCAGTGTCTGATGAAATCAGAGCCTCTCAAATCGGGTGAGTTTGTGCGCTACCCATATACGATTGGTTGGGTGATTGACCAATCAGGCTTGAAGCGATAACTGCCAGATTTTTGCACTTTCAGCTAAGAATTCCACCATTGACGACCGCGCGTACATGCGATTCCTCCTCAATTCCATGGGACCTAAAGAAACCAACAACTTCCTCTATCCGCGTATTTACCCATTGGTAAGAGCGAATTTCGTGTGTTGCATATTTTTTCTGAAATCGGTTATAAGGAGGCTTACTTTATACCTGTGCGAACCCTTAGCATGACATCGACCCAGAAAAAACCACGGAGCTTCCCTCAGCCATCCGCTGCTCATTCGAACGACTAGCCCCCGGGGGCGTCTACTTCATCGAGAACGGCGTCCACGCGCTCATGTGGTGTGGCCTCAAAGTGAACCCCACCTGGATCCAACAGGTCTTCGGTGTCACCGACGTGCACGTTCTCGAGCCGGAAAAGGTACATTCTGGTGTTTTTTTTTCACCCATGTTCTTCATCTTCCAAGTTGTAATCTGTGGTGACCGCGCTCCGTTATGCTTTTTTGATTTTAAAGGTTGTGCTAACGGAGTACGATAATCCCCTCTCGAAGTGCATTTGTCGTCTGGTGCTGCCTG